AAGAATTTTGCAAGAAGCGCACTCAAGCAGCCTTGCACGATGCGGCAGCGGAGAACCTGCAAACGGCAGCGGTACCACCGTCTCTCCGCTGAGCAGCTATCTGCAAAAGACAGTGATAAGGTTGCCGGCAATGAGCCGAAGACACCACTCTTTTCTGATGCTTATCCGTTTGGGCACCATCGCAAACTGTGTGGAAGTTATTATCAGTAATCGACTGGCCTCTGCTGTTACCGAAAGGTGGAAAACATTTTGCGGCACAGTGTGGTGTTGACAAGCTGAGCGTAACAGGGAAAGTTTATACAAGAAAACTTAACGCTTCTCGCATTTATGGCTTCTTGCATCCAAAGGCATGGTTGGTTAATCGTCGGCGGTTGTAAATGCCAAGAACTGGCCGCAAGTCTTCATGCTGCTTCATATTCCATTTCGTTACTTTTTTCCTCACTTTCGTTCTGGCGGTGAAGAAACATCTAAAAAGTGAGTGACCTCGCTCGCAACACCTGAAATCTGTGTGCGGTGCTGGCCACGATCTGTGATATCTTCTTCGCTAGTAAACTACAGTGGGGCACACGCGAACAGGCACCTATCACATGCTTTCGAATGCCTGTTTTGTTTTTAACATTTTTTTTTCGCTTCGTATAGCCATATTTTTACCGTGATGGTTGTTTGTTGTAAAAATAGGAGGCTTTGAAAAATGTTCGCTGTATGTTGACTCAGTTTCATAGGGTAGCATAGAAAAATCGTAAATGCACCAAATTACGGTCGTTACAATGGATAGATTGTTATATCTGAAATCTTTATAAGCGTTACAAGTTAGTAGGTTACAAACCCCAAGAACACGTTATCTTTGATTATTGCAAGCTCAAGAATGTGGCTGCAGAGACTGCTACTGCTCTAAACAGTTTTCAGTCATTGGTTCAGCTCCTACCAGGTGTTGTGTATTTTTAATTGTTTCAACTATGTAATTTACTGTCTTGAACTACATAAAGTATTAAAAATCATAAATCTCTTTTACACTTCTGTTGTTTTAACTATCTGTTGGCCTTATCTGATCGTGCCTAACAAAAAGCACCTTTTTCTCTTCCAGTAATTTAATAGCATGTGTAGCGAATCGTACTGATCAGACCTTTGCACTTGTAGGTATTTAGTCAGTAGTTTTTTCACGAGTGGGGGGGAGGGGGGCAAAGAACATACCTCAATTGTCAGGCATGGTATATATATATTGTAGTGAAGAGGAATCCGACCTCAGCACGAACAAACTCCTTTATTTGCGATAGCAGTGACTGAAGGTCAGATGTGGTGGTCAGGCTTGAGAGGGTGTCCTCCGGGACGTTAGGGCGTCGCGTGAGAAGACGCTGTCGTCGCAGCAGTTGTAACTCTGACACAACTCGATGACATCAGAGACAGTGACAGGGTTCTTCGAGAGCAGTATTTGAAAGGCGTCGTCGGAAATGCCTTTCATGATATGTCGCACCTTGTCAGTTTCTGCCATCGACGGGTCGACACGCCGGCAGAGGTCGAGGATGTCCTCTATGTAGCTGGTGAATGTCTCACCTGTTTGTTGGGACCGGCCTCATAGGCGTTGTTCTGCGCGAAGTTTGCGCACACCAGGGCGTCCAAAAACATCTGCGATGCAGGTTTTGAAGGTCGTCCAAGTGGGGATATCCGCCTCGTGGTTTCTGTACCACAGCTTGGCAACATCCGTTAAATAAAACATCACGGTACCAAGCTTTGTGGGATCGTCCCATTTGTTAGTAGCGCTGGCTCGTTCATAAGATTCCAGCCAATCCTCAACGTCTTTCTCGTCGGTGCCGCTGAAGATGTCGGGTTCGCGCAAGAGCTGGGCACCGGGACAGCTCCTGCGTGGCGAAGCCGGTGGGGGTGTGAAGACAGTGTCGTCAGGCATGACGGACGGCAGCTTTCGGCTACGCAGTTCCAGGACTGTGGAAGACCTCAGCAATCTCCACCAAAATATAATGTAAATGCTAGCTCAAAAGCGGTAGCAGCGTCGGTGCAAAAGCAGCAAGAGCTAGCCTGGTGTACGGGCAGCGTCGCAGCAGCCACTGGCAGTCCTCGTGCCTCGCGCCACCGTGTCAATGTCGCTACAGTAGTGGGCATTCCTCTTCACTACAATATATATATATATTTTCTTTCTTCTTATTTACATTACATTGGTTCTAATAACTTCCCCTATACATTCCTTGGCATTATTGTCTGTTAGATGTCAATATTATATGTATATATATATTAGCTTTTCGATGACTGCATTTTAGATTGAGGCAAAAATGCTGTAGGGCCGTCTGCTCATTTGGGTGCGCGTTAAAGAAGCTCAGGTGATCGAAATTTCCGGAGCCTTCCATTACAGCATCTCTCATAATCATATGGTGGTTTTGGGACGTTAAGCACTACATATAGATCAATCAACTCACCCCCATTCAGTCAGCATGTGCCTTCACTAACCACTACACCACACCACGCTACAGAACTGTCTGAAATCAAACAGGATTGTGTAGACATTGATGAGTGCAAAGAACTCGTGCTTTTCTCCACAAGAAAGAAAATGCCCCTCCAAGTGGTGGCGTGTGCAATCTTTTACACACATTTCGTCTTTTTGAGGAGCAAAAAGCCCTTTTCGTATTAACTGGCCACCGCAGCGAAGACGAGTCTACCAGACATGCAGATTGTTTGGACTCCAGGTCACTAGTCCCTGATGGGAAATAAGGCGATCAATGCTTTTGCCCGAGCTTATGTTCACCGGCCCATCCCACAGGACGCGCTAAGGAGGAAAGATGTACTTAAAAAGTACAATGATATACTGCAGCACTACAGGCTAAGCAGAAGAATTTATCCGCTAGCTCACCACAGCCTGACTCGGGAAAAGGCAGTAACCCTTAGGAACTGCAAACGAACACCTATGTTCACGATAGGCTGCTTCACCGAATCTCATCAACTGAGTACTCATACCACTGCAAGCACTGTGGTGTCCAAGAAACTCTATTTCATATAATATGGGGGTGCAGACAAAGCCCTGGAGCCACTACACTAACCAAAGAGCAGTGGTAGGCCAAGTTATCAGACCCGAGTCTGAAGAATTGGCACAGCATGCTTCAATGTTCAATGTGCACGGGAGATGGCAAAGGCCTGTGGCTACCTGGAACAAAGAGGCTGCCCACCTTGGGTGCACAATGCATTTGCTCAAATAAAAGTTTCTTTTCTCTCTCTCTGTGCAGTTACTTCAGAAAACTTTTTAGAGTGTATGTGTGCTTGTACATCTCTGTGAACTCATCCTTGCTGAGAGAGAAAGAAATAAACAGTGCTGCACGTGTGTGCTGCTTTTCTGTCAGAGTTGTATTTTGAGCTGTAATAGACAACTCAAGTTGAATGAAAACTAACTAGCCCGACTACTAATCAGGCCTTCATCGTGCAAAAAACCACGGTCATTAACCTTCTCCCTGGTCCGGTGGGTCAAGTGGCAGAATAAGCTTAGAAACTGAGCTTCCCACTGTATTCGAGTCCACTGCTTTATTCTTCGCCACTTTGCAAACTGCTGCCATTGCTCCTAATTACCGTAAGCAAGGCTGATCAGATTTATCAGAGACATACGTGCAAACCTTTTTGTGGCACTTTATGTACAGCAGAACTAAAGTATTTAAAAAGATTTATTACAATCATCGGCTCACAGCACCTTCAAAAAAGCAGCTATGGCACTATTCATTTTTGATTGAAGAAAACAATTTTCCTGGAGCAGCAAATGCTTCGATTGCTCCATCAAACGACTGCTCATTCTCATTCATAACAAAGCAAGTGCAAGACACTTTCGCGCCTTGTACTTTCGCCGGCTTTGCAATGCTACAGTACAAAACCCAAAAGAGTCGCATAGGCGGCCTGCACCGCAAGGAATATTCAAGGACAATCGTCACAGTAGAAATTTAGGAAAAATTTCACTATATTAAGACATTCTCTTGTAACATTTTCATTTCCTCGTATCAATATAATTAAGTGATCACTGTGTTGAAGGAAAACTTCACCTTAGTTGTTCGTTTTGCCAGCGTGCAGCTGACAGTGACTACTGTCAAAAGTGGGGAGGCTCAGCCCCGCCAACTTTTCTCAATGGAAGAGCTAGTGCCCCCATTGCCCTCCCCCCTGCTGATACACCGATGCCTTTTTCAGAACTCATTGTGTTTTGCTCATGTCTTGCTAAAACAAAATTCAATTGGTAAAAGTGGCATTAATCAGAAATGGAAAGCCTTGCAAATGATGTGGTTTATATACTAGTGCACTGCTGTTGCTTGCCAGCCCTTCTTGCCATCTGAGGTCATCAACAATTATCTATGAACCATGCAGAATATCTTTCAGAGCCATTCAAGTGGAACGAAGTCGGCATTGGAAGTGTTTTTAAAAAGGTATTGAGACAAAACATTTGCGGCGAGGTAACTTTTGAAGTATATTTGTGCATCACGCTCACATGTTATCTACAAAATAATAGTGATAAATACAGGCTAAAAGATATTTACAATCAATTGTAATGTGTGTGCCATGCAATTATGCACAACACAGAGCACCTTGTGTTGTCAGCATCAATTTTGTTTAATTGTGAACGACCAACAAACAGCTGTGTCATGAGTTTTGGTTTTTTGCCATGCTCCTTGTAGACACTTTTCCTTACAGTTTCGCACATGCATCCATGGCAAGCTCGTCATTGTTTTGTGGTCTCGCGAGGCTAGTTGTGTTCACCAACAAACCACGCTGGCTCCCGCCTCTCCTGGTGCTCTCCCACTGAAACTGTGAATCAAAATTTCCTTAGGTAGTTTGTACTAGCTGTCGCCTGCTCGAGCAAATGAGGTTTCCAGCTATGATAAGTGGTTCATTGGTCACTTATTCAACATGAAAACAATATGTGATATTTTTTTGTCAGTGCTGCATAAAAGAATGCTTTAGAGGTAAGACACGTTGGCATGCTTTTATGTGATAAGGATCACATTACCTTCGCTGTCTGCTCGCAGCGATAGCCCACGTGTGGCCAGCAACCAGTCACGCAAGAGAGGAAACTTCAAGTGCCGCTACTGTGGCCGTACTTTCGTCTACATGACACCATTCATCGCCCACGAATATGCGCACGCAAACGAGAAGCGCTTTCTGTGCAGCTTCTGCCCCCAGGGCTTCGTCACTCGCCAGCTGCTGACAGTTCATCTGCGCGTCCACAAGGATGAGATACTTGCCAACGACGATCCTGTGCCATAGGAGTGCATTGGAACGGTGATTCCGTGGCTTCAGACTAGGTAAATTCGCTGAAGCAGCCTTCATGGACAGGAAAGCCCTTCTACTACCTGGACCAACCTTTGATTGTTCTATTTTCTCTAGTGATTCAAGACCAACTAAAGTTCATTATGCCATGTTGTGTACTAACAACAGCCTGCTAAGTTGGTGTAACTGGCTGTGCACACCATCTGAATGTGGAGTTGTGCTGCGATGTCGTGACTGCGATTGTCACCTTGCGGATTTGTGCGGTGGATCTTCATTGATTCACGTACATCGGTCCACATGTGCCATCTGCTATCTTTTGCATGCGATGTTTTCTTTTGCCTAATATGCAGAAACTACTTATGTACTCTTGGAGTGGTTTGTGGTGCAAGGTTTGTCTACGAAACCTCCTGAGCTCAACAATTTTCTTTAAGCCGGAAGGGAAGCAAACAAGCGGACTTGCTTTTTCCAGGGCTAATGATTCATTATTTTGAAAGCTGTCAGTCACTGTGCTACCTGAGTTGCAGCAGACAGCAACTACAGTGGCACTATGTGGCAGAAGTGAGCTGTCTGATCTCTGAAAAACTTTGTAACAGCATGATGTGGTGCAACCCACATCTGCCTTCAAGTTCTTTGGCATGAGGCTTTTGGCAGGCTGTGCAGCTTCCTCAATCTGTTAAATATTTTGTTTTGCGTGTGTATGTGTTATGAAGTCATGCATGGTGCAGCTGGCATTTGCTCTATTAGCATCGGACTGGTGATGATTTTGCCGTCACCAATACTAGTGCAGAAGTGCTTGTCTGGCTAAAGCAATGCAGTGGCAAGCAATTTGTAACATAGATTTTGGTAAAGACATGCTTTTTGTTGTTACGTTATTGTGCACCGCGTGAAAGAAGAAGACTTGGGAGACGAGCAACTACGCGAACACAAGCTCAAACTTTAGACTAAATTTGTTGGACAGACACAATGCTTTTATGCAGTTGCTTTTCTTGGTTACAACAAAACATTTACAAATGGTTATTTACGAGAAATATAAGCATTACAATACCAATAACCACTCATGCCGAGGAAACATGCAACTACTGCACATCCTGCATTATGAGTTCAGATACATTAGTATGTTCGTCTGCATTAGTCCCAATGAAGCCAGACTGATGCAGTCATTCCCCAGGCAAATAATCTTGGATGCCTCAATGATTTTGCTCGTCATCTGATTACAGTGCTTAGCGACCATTTCAGTTTTACACAACTTTGGCTGGCATCTATGCCAGTTCTATGCTTTGACTGCTTCTCTTGTTTTTTGTTGACTAGTTTTCATTTGTAATGTGATGGCCTGCTGTTTTGATATTTTGTATGGATAGTCTGTTTATTCATGTAATGCATCAGCATGAAACTCTATAAGCCAACTCAGAAAACATTGTGGCCACTAGGCGTTAATGAGTAGCCAAATGGATGTGGCCCTCTAGAAACTGTGTGATACCGTTCTACCGAGCATCTTATGCCTTGTTGCATGTTTACGATTCCGAATTCTGTGTGGGTGATCTGTGAGCAAAGTGCCTTGTCAAAAGTTATGCTGCTCACTCTCCCTGGCTTTACTGGAAGTATCTATCTTCCACAAATAAATTGAAGGCAGCACCTTCTTTTTGAATGTGTCCAATAGGATTGCATAGGTTGACCAGCTTTGTGCATGAACACAAGTCAGAACTGGGTTGTGGTGTTTCCCTCATATAACGGACGAGAGCTCGTGCACCCTAGTTTTTCAGTTGTATGTGTGCAGCTTGGGAGTTGTCTGTGAGGAATGGAGCACCAATGATGTGTTGCCTGTAAACTCTGGCTTGAAGAGAAGCAGCCACAAAGTTGTTAACATGCGAGGGACCCATGCAGCTGGCGGCACCATGTTAGTTCATTCATTTTTTTTTTTCTGAGCTGCAAACAGTTATAGAGAGGTCACTCTTTAGGCCTAACTCCACGAATTCGTTAAAGCGCATCAGCGAGTACGTTTTTGACTTGGCATCGTGCCCTCCTCCTTAAAGAGAAAGGTCATGTGGCTACCCGAAGCTGCGCGCTCTGTCTCTCGATATGAGAGAGGGCTTGGCGCCGACGCACTGCAACAACTACGTTGGGTCAGGCCTTTAGTGATACAGCGGTCTTTGAAAGCACCAATTTGCTCTTCCATTCTGTTAAGCAAAAGCTGATGAAGTAGATCGCACTCTTTAGAAGCAGCATTGCCATCCTGCAGCATAAACAAGTCAGTAATACCTTGGAGTTGAGTGAGTGCTCACTTTGGATGGCCATTGTAAGTGTTAAAAAAGTCCATTTCATGGTGTTTGTGGATCAGCCCTGTTATAGATGGCTGTCTTAGTTTGGCCATTTGTTTGATAAAGTTGTTTGGTAGAGGCCTGTGATTTGTCAAACGAAGGATTGCTTTTACAAATACATCCAACATACTTCTAAAGAAAAACACTATAAAAAAAAAAACGATTTCCTGGCTTACCCTGGTTCAATAAATTATGGTGTTTCTTGCATGGGAAACTGCAAAATGGCCGCCTGTATATTTCTGAACAAATCAGTTTTCAGAGATGTAAAGTGCTATTGTAGCAGCAATGAATCAAGTCTTGTAACTGGCAGCCCAGGTAGATTAAGGATGTCGTACACTGGCGAAATCAAGTTAAGTGTATCTGTTCAGACTTGCCGAGTTCTCACAATTGTAGTTTGTAGACGGCTGCGTTTGACCAGGAACAAGTTATAGATCTGTGACAGCTACAAATTTTACTAGCCCAACTACTTACTGTTCAACTTAGTTACATATTATATTGAAGGGTGATACACTGCTTGATTGCATCAATCATAAATGACAGGCTTGTGTATGAACAAGTATTGAATTGCCCATGTATAGTTCGTGCTAAAATAGAGCAAGTGTTGCCATTTGCCTAGCATTGCAACATTATGTGAATTATTGATCACACCTTCTTTTTCGTTCTTTCTGTTTTTGCCATAAGCATCAAAGTTGTTTTCATACAGAAGCGCACGTATGTTTTTCAGTATGTGGTCTTGGTCACAATGCTGTAATTTGCATCGAGAGATGACTGGATGTTACATTCTTTTATTATTACTTCTGCATTTGTTTTTTCTACATATACTTTTGCAGAGTGCCCACTTCCTCATGTCGAACTGTTTGCCACAATTTTGCTCGGAAACCACAGTGCAGCAACACTAGGCATGAGGGGGGTCAGCCATAGCCCGCATTTGGGGCTGTGCTCGTGACTATGCCCTAGGTCACTTTTATTGCAGAAATAATTTACATTTCTGCTCACTCGCATGATTTGCGTTCTGACACCTGTCAAGGGGCAGCTTATTTGTTCGTATCAATGAGTGATTATTGCTGTATTTGGCATATTTACCAGTTTTTGTGTGAGGGACTCACACATATACAATCTGTGCTAAGTTGTAGCTTTCAGGATAATGTAACAGGACTGAGCACACTGGTTTTTTTGGAACCAATTCTGTTCCTTTATTTCTTGTCATTCCTATTAAAAATTTCTGCACAAAGTTTGAATTGAATGGAAAATGGAGACTCGAAGAGATGAAAAATTCTTGAACCAGTGGTGTCACTGTTGCTGTAGGTGAGTTTTCCATATGGACAAAGTTTAACATACATATATTTGGTGTAGTTGACTAGAATGCTTTTGTGCCATGCTCTCTCTTTGTACGTTACACAGGCTAAGTGCAACACGTTAGTTAGTTACAATGTTGCCTCCTCTTTTGCGTTCTTGCACTTCAATGCTTTTAGTGTTTTGTTTTGTGTAATGCATATGTGGGCTTGGGTATTTCATAAAGTTGTAATTGTCAGTGTTTAGATCCCCTTTGAAAGCAAAGTATATAGGCAAGGGCCATAATTAAGGTGTCATTGCACTGTGCCCAAATGTTTCAATAAAATGCTTGGTTATCCTCTCTGTTGACAACTCGAATTAATGCTGAAGTTGCTGATGATGAAGACATGGCTTGATAAATGTTGCTCATGCACTCATTGAACTTTTTCTAGTCTTGTTTTTACGCCAAAGCTGTTTAGCAAATCACTCCTTGCGATTCGATCGCAGAAAACTATCGTCTGAATGTGTTGTGCCACAGAAATTGGGTGAAATTCCCTTGCTCACCACTTTCCAATAAAGATGAAGAATGTAACAGTTAGCTTAAAGGGGAAGTCCGGTGCACTTTCGAACATGTTAAGATAATGCTGTTTTCTAATAGTATTGATAGTCCTGCAAAAGCTAGGGTGGGTCATTTCGCCCAGGCACTCGTCAAGAATTTTGATGAAGCTTTAGTCGAGGAGTCGAAACAGAAACCCAAACAAGCAGCTGCTCCGTCATGCACGGTGTGTATAGGATGATGACGTCATGAGATCCACGACACCCCACCACAGCTGGCCATGGTGTAAACATAGCTCACGTGCCTCTTCTGAGGTGCGAAAAGCAAGTTGGCGATGTCATTCGATCGGAATAAAGCTGTGCCGCTTGTCTGAACTTACCAGTGACAAGTTCAGCGATGATTGCAGCTTATAGAGATAGATTTCAACTCTATGTGGAAGGTACGATCTGAGTGCGGAAGCATCGCTTTTTGATTTGAACCCGCCTGCGCGTAAAGCATCTGTCGGGCCTCGAACCAATTTCCTCGTTGCTTAATATTGTAAGACCAGACAAGGGCGACTATAACAGGCTGTGTGCAACTGCCAAAACTTAACTGGCCCCTCCGCGATGGTCTAGTGGCTAAGGTACTCGGCTGCTGACTTGCAGGTCGCGGGATGAAATCCTGGCTGCGGCGGCTGCGTTTCCGTTGCAGGCGAAAATGCTGTAGGCCCGAGTATTTAGATTAGAGTGGACGTAAATAAAGAACCACAAGTGGTAGAAATTTGCGGAGCCGTTCACTACGGTGTCTCTCATAATCATATGGTGGCTTTGGGACGTTAACCCACACATATAATAGACAAAACTGAACTGTGCTCGCGTTGTCGTCGTCTTGTAGAAGAAAGTGCGTGCTGCGTCCGTCTGCTGGGAAAGGCGGGGTTTTTGAAAAAGAGTAGGCCTTTACGTCATATATGCAAGGTCGCCCGCGTTCACAAGTGCGATCCCACAATCGGCTACCATTTTCAAACTTTGTTTTCTAAAAAAATTGGTAGATCCCAACTACAGAGGGAATTGATGATGTGCTAATCACGAATAAGGAAGGTTGAAATGTCGCATTAAAATCTGCACAATGCTACACGGTGGACGTACGTAAATTGTGCTGTACACGGCTTCCATATGTCATAATTATCAAGTTTGCGTCTGGCATTTGAGCTCGTCATCCATTTGATTCGTGTAATACCAAATTTAATATGTGTGAAACTAGCGAAACGGCCGTGAGCGCACTATGAGCGTGGCATGTAGTCATGTTCTTACGTGCCATACATGTCATGATTTCCACGTGAGGACCTGTCACTTATGGTTACCATGCAGTCACGCCGTACCATACTAGTTTTGCGATAGGTCATGTGAACGAAACCACCACAGGAGCAGCAAGACCATGACATGTAAATCCTGAAATTCATGGCATGCATGTCATGATTTTCATGTTATGACTAGTAACTTATGCTTGTCTCACAGTCATGTTATGCCATACTGATTTCGGTATTGATACCATTATCCAAACGTCCAGGAGAGCTAATAGTCGTAGGCGGCTTCAGATAGATAGATAGATAGATAGATAGATAGATAGATAGATAGATAGATAGATAGATAGATAGATAGATAGACAGACAGACAGACAGACAGACAGACAGACAGACAGACAGACAGACAGACAGACAGACAGACAGACAGACAGACAGACAGATAGATAGATAGATAGATAGATAGATAGATAGATAGATAGATAGATAGATAGATAGATAGATAGATAGATAGATGATAGATAGATAGAAATGGTTATACTTGCCGAAGTTCGGTCACAAATGCTTCGCATTGAAAAAAAAAAAAGTCGCAGCTTTGCCGCAAAGGTGAAGCAGTGAATATGATAGCAGCAAATTTGAAGGTGACACGCAGAATGGCAAGCAGATCGATACGTGTCCCACGTTTCTCACGCACAAATAACGCATGCAGTGTACTCACAGCTACAGATAAACGCAAATAAGCGTCTCAGTTGTGACTTCACTGTGTCTGAAAAGCGCGCTCTTTCGCAAGCGGATACTGTGCAACAATTGCAGCGACCATTGTGCACCCGGTTACTACAACAGAATCGTTCCGATGAAAGCGAAAGGCCAGACAGGACTCAGGATCCTCCCCATCACGAGATAAGGGCACGCGATGGAGCGTCCAACCCTTTTTCTCCATGTAGCAAAGTACACTCTAAAAACTGCGGAGTACTAGTATCGGAGGGGTGAAAAGGACAAGTTACTCTTCAGAGTGTTTTACTCTCGCAAAGCATCAGATAGAGTGAAATTAATTTTCACTCTGTATGAAACGAGAGGGAAACAGCTTTCTACTCTTCCTCTCATTAGTGAAATGCCCATAAACTCTTCAGACATGAGAGAGTAAAACGCAGTTATACTCCTGCTCTTGATTACCTTTAGATGCGTCGGCACACCGCGAGGGATTAGCACTGCTTAATAACCACATATATATGTAATAAAACGTATGCATTTGTTTGTGGAGGGGTCGGAGGCGATTAACAAAAAGAACAGCGTTTCCAGCGCGCGCCAGCGAATTTCAGCGCGCTGGAAGGCATTTGTAACTCCTAATATCCACGTTTTTAGCTTTGGATCTGTGTAGGGAAATAAGCTAATACTATCTTATTTATTCGGTAGTGATCGAAACCCAACGCAAGCAGCTGTAACATTCTCCTTTTTTGTATTAATTGAAACGGGGTGTTGAACCAGCAGGAGTTGACTCGGCGAACGAAAGCTTTATTTAGCGCAAGGGCTAACTGAACGCAAGCTTGCGATCACAGCAAGTCTTCTTCCTTTTCTATACTCGAGCTCCATGCCCACTGCCCTCGTTACAATCACCCCCGGACGATGAGGGAGCCATCCTGTTGACCTAAGGACAGGTGTACACAGAAGGGTCATGGTATGGCTTGAGCCGAGAAATGTGTACGATTTCTTGTCCCCGACGGCGCTTGTCCGGAGATGCATCCAGCGGCTCGACCAGGTAGTTGACAGAGGATGTTTGGCGTACAACTCGATAAGGGCCATGGTACCCGGACGAAAGCTTGTGGGCGAGTCCTGGAGGAGTAGAAGGAATTCATAACCACACCAGTGAGTTCGGAGCAAAGTTCATAGGCGTGGCTGACGCGTCGTGGCGATGTTTTTGGCGCGTCTGGTCATGTGACGTGAACGCACGAGCAAGCTTCCGACATTCTTCAGCGTGTGCTGCTGCTCGAGAAACGGTAATCATCTCTGAAGGGTCCAGTCGATAAGGAAGAATAGTATCCATTGTTGATGATGGCTCGCTTCCATAAAGAAGAAAGAAAGGCGAAAATCCAGTGGTGCTTTGCGTTGCAGTGTTGTAAGCAAATGTCACAAAAGGCAGTATGCTATCCCAATTTTACTGGTCGGATGAAGCGTACTTGGCCAGCATATCCCCAAGTGTACGATTAAAACGCTCTGTCATCCCATTAGTTTGCGGGTGATAGGCTGTGGTAGTGCGGTGTATGATGCGACACTCGCTCAACAACGCTTTGATGGCATCGGAGAGAAAAACGCGGGCGCGGTCGCTTAGTAACTCTCGAGGGGCTCCATGCCTTAAAACCATGTTTTGCAGTATAAAACATGCAACGTCTTTTGCTGTAGCAGAAGGTAACGCAGCTGTTTCAGCGTACCGCGTTAGGTGGTCGATAGCGACAATGACCCAGCGGTTGCTACTCGAAGTATAGGAAAGCGGACCATAAAGGTCGATTCCGACACGATGAAAAGCTCGTGCTGGACATGGCAACGGCTGCAAGGGACCTGTGGCATGTTGAGTGGGCATTTTGCGTCGCTGGCACGTAAGGCAAGACCTTACGTAACGGCGAACAAAACGGTACATACCGCGCCAGTAGTACCGCAGCTGCAAGCGAGTGTATGTTTTTAACACACCAGCGTGGCCACATTGCGGATCATCGTGGAACGTGGCCCAGATGTCAGAGCGCAGATGTCGGGGAATGACGAGCAACCACTTACGGCCCGTCGACCTGTAGTTTCGGCGGTAAAGCAGGTTATCCCGAATCGCGAAGTGTCCTGCTTGACGGCGAAGCGTCCTGGAAACTGGAGCGGGCGTCCGGTTTGAGATCAAGTCCAAAAGAGAAGAAATCCAAGCATCTTTGCGTTGCTCAGAAGGCATGTCCGAAATGCTGATGGCCAAGGCAGCACTGGTGGAGATAGGCGAGCCGACAGTCTCTGAAGCCAATGGCGAACGTGACAGGGCATCGGCGTCGGAATGCTTCCGGCCAGAACGGTGGATAACACGGATATCGAACTCCTGTAACCGCAATGCCCAACGAGCGAGCCGACCATTAGGATCTTTTAGTGAAGATAACCAGCAAAGTGCATGGTGGTCTGTTACAATATCAAACGGACGTCCATATAAATAAGGCCGAAATTTTCCGATTGCCCAAATAAAGGCAAGGCACTCCTTTTCAGTTACACTGTAATTCTTCTCGGCTTTACTAAGGGTGTGGCTGGCATAGGCAACGACGTACTCGTCAAAGCCATCCTTGCGTTGGGCCACTATGGCCCCTAGCCCGACACCACTAGCGTCTGTATGAAGCTCCGTTGGAGCAGACGGATCGAAATGTCGGAGTATGGGAGGCGTGGTGAGGAGCCGTCGGAGTTCCTGAAATGCATCATCACACGCCTGCGACCACGCTGACAAATCAGAACTTCCGGCAAGAAGATTGGTCAAGGGGGCGATAATGGAGGCGAAATTGCGGACGTAGCGCCGAAAGTAAGAAC